ACTACCCCTGGATTTTTGTAGTTCGATTATTGCCGCCCTATCACATAAGTAGATACATAACATATTATTTTATCATCATTTATCAGTAATTTATGTACGCTTAATTAGCAGTTATACGTACTTAGGATGAGCACTAGTCATACCTAATAATTATACCATTATTGTGAATTAGTATTACTATTATCATATTTTTTTACTATCAATATTTTGTACCACAGCTATTTATTATTTTTGTTTACTATCGGCAGTGTGTACCTGTCTTTCTTGATTTTTTTTTTTTCACTTAAATATTCTGTTGTAATATTTTCCTATAGCCCATATTCTCCATAATATATTCAATTTTTTTATACAGTCTACTATTATCATACGGTTAATGTCCGTACATATTCGAGATGAGCAGTAACGAGATACTAGCAAACGCCAATGAGCAGACAATACCTGGCGACATCATTTATTACGCCGTCGACCCGTTGCGACTCGTCACACTAGGTTTTTCCTCCGTACAGATTATGTGTGTGTGTGATAGAGAGAGAGAGAGAGTTATGACGAAATAATATTAATTTCAATGATAATCCGTGCGCAGTTACAATTATAGAAGTGAAAAAATGTATATTAGGTTACTTAATAAAATGCATTATAACGCAAAACTCATTTGACGATCTAACGACTAACAGCTATACAAAGAATTTAACTGTAATTAATTCTCACGTAGGAACATATTCGATTATGTGAGACTATTAATATAATAAACAAACTCCTTTCTTTTTTAGTTGAAATCGTATATAGGTACTTATCTGATGACTATACAATCATTTAAAATATTTTAAAATCATTACGTATATAAAATAAAACTGTACAAATGCGTTCAACATTTTTAAAAACACGAAAACAAATAATCATGTTTATAATTTTGATTTCAATTAACTAAAAAAAATAATAAATACATTTCAATAATAATTATTATGCAACCTTAATATAGAACATAATCCGATCATTTTCCAAAAATATTATTTAAAAAAACCCTTTTAGCAACATGAACATTATTCTAATAACAATAATAATATAATAGTATAATTAGCTATATAATTTCAATACCTGTACCATTAAATGTATATCACTACTCTACTGGGGTATATTTCATTATTGGTTTACTACCCTGATTTTGGTTGTATATTGCGCGTGTGTCACAAATTAACCATCACAGGACTATACTTATCTTTGTTCTATACTAAGGATAGTATATTATTAAATTTAAGTACGCTATTGAGCAACACATTTGTATTACACAATATAATTTATAATAATAAGATAAGGTACTTCTCTATTGAGTGCCTACACGTTATCATATACGCAGCTTATTCGTCCATATAATAATAAATTACAATGTTTAGGTTATCGCCATAATCTGCACTGCAGTTTTTTTTTAGTATTAAAACGTTCAATAATAATATTTATTTTTATATAGGTAGTTATTTGTTTCGAGCATGTATGTAAACGGTTTTCGTATAATATGCAACAATTCGCATACATAATATGGTAGTTTCATTTTGAATCGCTCATCTATAGATAGTGCAAAATATGTAGGTACATCGTAAAAATGAACACATCAGTGTAAACTAGCTCACATTGTACGAAACGCAACGACATTTGAAATAAGATAACGAGAAGAAAAAAAAACTGTGAGTCGTAGTCTAAATACTATTACGTGTATTGGTTATTTTTTCTGACTAGTAAGATGATGTTTACAGTTTACGAAACCATTTTTTCACTTGTACAAGTTGTACATCAAACTGTGGTTTATAACAAAACATAATCATAATATGTGTTATTATTATACTGTGTTATATTTAACTCACACACACACATTAAAATTATTTACTCTTTGTTGATGTGATATACCTACTTCAAAATATAGAAAGAATATATTTGTGTATACACCCGATAAACAATGGCCGATGGTGTACAAGCACGTTATAAATAATATTAATAAGACTGCTATTATTTGAAATCGTTTCTATATTGTTGCAACAATATTTTACAAATCTTGTACTACATGTATATATTAGTCATACGATCATGATATGAGTATGATGTTTTCGCATTTTGAGAGAAATTTAAAATATATTAACTAGGAAAGTATGACAGTACAAAATTTTTATTGTATTATTACTATGAAAAGGTATAATATTAATTATTATATTACATTATCACATTAAAATTTAACATTGAGCAAAGTCTAAAACTAAAAAAAAAAATGAATATAATATTTAGTTCAAAAAAATTACAGTATGTGGTTATTGTGTAACTATAAATTAATTCACCTAAAAGGAAATAATAAAATACTTTTAAAATCCTTGTTAAAATGTACACCACACCCTTTGTATATACTTGAACGAGTTTTGTAAAAATATCTACAGAAAGAAAAATATTATAATTAAAATATTTTAGCGAGGAGTTTTTATTTTTTAAATATTATAAATTTGAACTGCTAACGACGATCATATTGGATTCAACAAAGCAGACAAACGGGACTATATAATATATATATATATATATATATTATTATACAAGCATATATAATGTGTATATCACGATTTAATTATTTTATATGATTTTAATTTTTAATAAATATATTTTTCAATAGTTATCCATGAAATCGCTAAGTTCATCATTGAATAAATGTAAATTCATAATATTTTGATATTTTTAAAAAGACTATTGATTTAAACTTTGAAGTGAAGAGACTAATCTGTAGTCGTCTTGTATAATAAATCACGCTCAAGTGCACAATGCACGTTGTATATAATTTTCGATTAGACGATTAATACAGAACAAATTATTTTTAAATCTTCCAAGAAAAAAAAATATAATGACAAAATAGTATTTTATATTAATACTATAACCATGTAATCGGTAAATTGTAAAATGTATAATATTTATACACATAGTAATATAGTAATAATTTATAATGTTAATTAATATCTTTTCTAAGATTATATTTTGAACACTGAATTGTCTTCATAGATTTGTTTCTAAATATGTATTTTGTATTTATGTGCATCTTCAGGAAAACTTTTTTTTTTTTTTTATAAAGATAAAAAATAAATAGTATATAATTCATTAATTAATACAATTTCAACCAGTCTGTGAAATGTAACGTTTATTTAATAACTGACAAAAAGAAAAAAATATATGATAACGTTCTAATAGTATAATTAAATCATGAAAAAAATTAATTATTTATACATTTTAATTTTTATTATTATGCATTTATTAAATGTAGGAATTTTGTACCAGAATAAAATAGCTCACTTTTCATTTTAAACAGATTTAATAATAGTAAAAAGATAAAAATATAGTAATTATACATAATAATATAATAACGTATTTTCGTATATAATGCAACTTCATTTATTATACATTATTAACATTAAGTGTTGAAGTGCACACAAAACGATTCAGATTGTCTACGACTACCTATAATACTTGTCCCTCAAATGTGTTCACTTGAGCTCGTCTGTAATAAATGCCCTTAAACCACCCACTACACGCGAGAAGAGCGTAATAAGCGTGACACATGAAAGTGGAGAATTTATCGCGAAAAGTGGTTATTACCAGTCAAGATACGCATAATAATATAATAATAATGTGTGATAAATTTATGGATGTATAGACACTAAGTGTGTGTATACTGTATATTATTTAAATGTGTGATTTTCTTGAATTGGCTAAAAGTCTTGTGATACGACAAAGTATAAAATCTAGTTTTACTAAAATTATTTATGCGTTTATTCATGAAACTGTTAAAATATTAACAAATCAATAATATGAAATTAATATATATTTTTAATATTATACTTTTAGTATTCATATATTATAAGCTGTCAAATTCCTCGAAGTCAACAAAATTATTTCATTATCGGATAGTCACAGTATAGGCCTCAAAAGACAATATACTTATATCTGTACACACACAATAAATGTATGTGTAAATATTTATACATTATTTACCATTGTTGCATTATCCCTTGAAGTGGAAGTTTTTATTCGTAAAATTCGAATTTTAACTATAACTTAAGAGCAGATTCTGAAAACCAATATTTTCTTTTGCCTAGATGATAATATTTATTTTTTTCTGAATAATATTCATGGAAAAATACGTTTTGTGTACAATATATTTATATATCATAATTGTGTCACATAAACATACAGCAGGTTTATTTATAAAGAAGATGTCCAGGATGATAATCACATTGTGAAGTCATTAAGCGGAGTCGATAACTATAGTGGTATATTTCATGTTAAAGATAACATATGATACATGTTTAAGATACATTATGAAAAAAAAAACCGCAGTATATTTATACAAATACTTAGGTATTTATACTAGGTACTTTGTAAAAAATATTTCAAAATATTTTAGTATTATAGTGTATGGATATCGTTATGTAATATTATGCCAAACGTAACTGCCAGTCCTTTGAAAAATGACTAAATACATAAATTAATACATATATTTTAATTTTTTTTTCCATAATTAGATAAACAATAAGCTTACATGTACAATGTACATGTAGTATCGATAATAACGAAAATTACTAAAATTAGAAACACAATTGTTATTAAATAGTCAAATTTTTGAATATTATAAATTAATATAATTATACAATTATTATAAATTGTTGGTGGTATAATCTATATATGTATAATATATGGCTTATAATAATGAAAATTATAATTTTTGTATTTAAGTGTATTTTCGTCAATATATCGTCAAAGTTAAAAATAATATGATGTCTAAATTAATTACAATAGAAAATGTAATTTTATTTTTTGATTTTGGTTTTTAATGAAAACTATTTTGTTTTTATCAGATTTATTTTGATCATAAATTTAAGAATTATATTTGTCATTCTTAGATTTTAATGGTTGATTCGCCACATTCGTTCGAGTTTTTGGAGTAATAGTGGTGGTTCGGAATATGAAATAATAACACTCACCCGAAATCAGAGCCAACAGTACTGCGATCAGACAAATTAAAGCGACAGCCCGAGGTCTCCTGACCGTCGGGGTCGTTCGAGGCGGCTCCATCCGAGGCGGTTGGTTTGCGCACGGCCGACACCTCTCGAGTGTTCGGTTGCCGCGATAGACACCGGACGGGACGCGTTAACACTATATTATTACAATAACGAACGTGACCACCATAAACCGGGTGTTTGGTTACCTTTACGTACGGTTGTGCGGAATATAATCAAAAACAGAGACGGAAAAAAACAAATAACGATAAACAAAACTAAATCGCGAAGACGGTGTGCCACGTTATCCAGTGTGGTGTGTGGGTGTGTGCATGTGTGAACGCAATCGTGTTCGGTTACGTACGGTCTCTCTAGTCGGCGTCAACGTTTGCGCTTTCTGTACGACCGACGACGTGGTACTGACTGAAGCAGCAACGGCGGCGTTAGCAATTTGAACGCCGAGCGCCCTGCGTCCGCGCGCCCCGCTCTGGCCAAACGATTGGCGAGCGGCAAGTACCGGAGAAAAAAACGTCGACGCCGCCGCTGACAGACGGAGACAAAAAAAAAAAAAAAAAAAACGAGATCGACGGACCGAGCACACGCGTAGTCACGTCATTATATGTAACATCGTCTATATACTCGTAATATATTAAATAGTCGTGGGCTGGTTGTGTCGACGTCAGAAAAACTGCCGGTCCCTCTTTTTTCCATTTCATCTCGGTGAGCGACTTTTATAACTCTTATTCACGCGCCCTTTTTTTCATCTCAATCGTTTGATTTCACCCCGTTCTCCTTTAATCAACGATACACTATTTATAGCCTTTGCCAGCGTTAAGAAAGTTATTGCATTAATTTACCGACCACATTATACACAGTGGTACAGTTATAATTGTCGTGTTAAACGATTATATTCTCGGACATTTCAGTCATTGGTACAAATTATAAAGTAGGATTAATTGTATGTATTTCCATGTACGTATATATATATAATAAAGGCATGTGTGTGGTGTGTGTGTCAAGTGTGTGTGTGTGCTAGTTTTGCGATTTTACGAATGTTACAATAAAAGTATTTTATAAAATTTAAGTAAATCAAATAAACTATGTGCTCATGTTTATTCTTATTCTTAGTGAGTTATATCTCGAAGAATTTTTAAATTCCACAAGTATTTTGTAATATGGCTTTTAGTGGTATGTTTTATTTTTTATATGAATTTAATCTATTGATAAAAAGGTTTCTCTAAAACTAAAATATTTTCAAAACATTATACATTATCTTTTTTTTTTAATACTATAGTATATTAGGGTATAATTTAGAATAGAGTAAACAAACCTTTTGTAATTGGCGGACCAATTTACACATTTATAAACAATAGGGGAAAGGCTGTCAAAAGAAAAAAAAATAGATTTTTAATTGTTTATTTTTTTTTAACAAATATAATATTATAATATAATATAAAAGTTATCAGTTATCGCATTATATAACATGTATAAATGAGTATTAATTTATAGTTAAAATAATTAAGTTCCTTAAATTTATTTAAAATTTGACATGTTTCTAAATTGTAGAACAAATTATATTTTTTTTTAAATACAAAAATCAGTTTGATTTTCATTTCTTATATTTATAATTATTTTTGTCATAACTCATAGATACAAGATAATTATATAAAGAAAAAAAAATGAAAAACTACATAACGAACCATAGACATTTTTTTGAACATAATTTATATCAATACGACTTTATTTTGTTAATTATTTATTTATTCAGTCTCAACACATTTGTGTAATTAAAATAATTAATAATGTAACCTTTAATGTAAGACGACAGCTATGTTTATAATATATATATATACTGTTCATATATAACGTAGTTGCACCTCCACCGTTGAAAATGAGCATAGCTGAATAATCATACTCGTAGAACGAATACGAAGTTTTTTAGACAGTTATTAGGATAGTGTGTTAAAGAATTACAGCAATCGCCGCACAAAACTTAAATCAAAGTTATTACATGGCTGATGACATCTTATACTTGTGTTGTTAACTTGAGCGGACGTCATAAATGTCATCGTGGTTGTAGAACTATAATTATTACTATTATTGTTATTATATTTAATGTTGCGTGTGTCACAGGCGCACTAAGCAACACTTTTAGACTGACCCCAAAAAAAAAAATCTCATAATTATATAGGACGTAAGCATTATTATTAAAACACTACTTTATATATATATATAATACATATACATTAAAATCTACAACAGAAAAAGAGTAAATACATTTATTGAAGGATTAAAAATCTCTCCGTGAGGAAGTAGCGTCTCTCCATAAATGATTTATGTATGTAATTACGGATATTACCTGCAACAGTATTATCATCAAGGACCAAAATATTATTTATTTAGTTCTTAATTATGATTAAAAAAAATTTAATGTTAAAAACAAAATATATATTTTAGTTTTGGTTCAGAACATTTAACTGGTTTAATGTTCTAATTTTGTATGAAAAATACATTAGACGCTCCTAATAATTTAATTTTCGATCGATCTCATTAAAATAGAAATTCAGGAAATCATTACAAACCTTGAACAGAGCATAATGTGAATATGCATTATAGGTACCTACATCATTATAAAATACCATCATTATTTTAAATTTATCGGTTAAGTTATCGTATTTAGAAGTATTCTTAAGTTCCTTTTAGTTCTGATAATGAATAATTTTACTCAATTCAATAGTTTTCAGAAATTGCATTTTACTCTATGGTATATTAAATTATGTGTGTCTGGAAATTAAAAATGTTGAGTATTAAAAATAATTATATAACTGTGAAATGTATTAATCTAGAACCATATCAAGATATAATAGTACCTACATACATCATAATTTAATGATTTAAAACCACTTGATGTTTAAATGTAAAAACGCCTTTCTTTGATAAAATCTAGTTAACAATCATTTATTTTATATACATTATCCACAATATTATTTTGAATAAAAATAAATAGGATGTTTTCAGTTTTTCATACTGCGAAGTTGATTATAATTGGATTTTATAACTTATAGTAATTTTGTACAATACATACAAATATATAATATATTTTAGCTTCAAAATGAATGGTTTTATTTAAAACCTTTTTTACTACTCTATTTAAAGGAATCCAATAAACTTATTTTGTGATATTTCTGAAAAAAATGTAAAACAAAATTACATTTTTGTAAAGTACATGTACATATTTTAAATATTTTGACATTTTGACATTCATAAAAAGATAAACGATTAAAAAAAAAAAAAAAAAAAAATGTTAATAAGTGATTACAATACTCCATCTTGTAAAATTGCGAATACATAAAGTATAATCAATGTTTTTAGTTTAAACTTGATAACTATTTAACCAATAAATATAATAGTGAAAAAATGAAAGGACGGAATAAATATAAAATATAATTTTAATAGAATAGAACTTTATGTTCATAATATAGTGATGTTAATTTTTAGCAAATAAGTAATAAAATAGCATTAAACTTACAGTTAGACAGTGTTTATAATTATTTGTCTTTTACAGTCTATCTATATGAAATTATTATCTTTTTTTTTTTAAATAATAAAATTTAATTTATAATTAGCTAATTTAGATTTATAGATATACATTTGAAGAATAGCACAATATTATGCTGATATTATAATAATATATAGTTCTTATTACATTGATCTATAATGATATAACCGATAGTAAAAATACAACGATAACACAAAATCGTTAAAATATTAATGTGGAATATGAAATTTGTACTTCAATTATATTATAATACGAGGCAACATGGCGCTATGGGTAAGCATTTTATGTACATCTCCGTCGTACGGTCGTACTTAGATTATGAAGCATTCAATAATAATATAATAATGATAATTTTATCGTAATAGAGTAAAGATAAATGTAAAATAAGTGTTCCTTTAATATAGAGTAAATATAATATACTATTAGAACTAAATTTAATTATCGCAGTTGATAATAGTAACTGAGAATGTGAAAGCATATTGGCAAAATAATGTACAGTCGCATTATTTTTAATGACAAATCGTAAAATATAATATATATTAATATATTATTTTTAATTTATCATTGTCGTCTCGGTAAATACGTAGTTTCGTCAAATTTGTTAATGTTTATTGTTATCAACTATGTAACTATTGTAACTAATATACAGAGTGATTCGCCAATCATTTTCACCTTGTTTTTTCTTCAATATTGCAATTATTTAAAATCTGATTTTTTTATCACATAATAGCACCTTATAATAGCTTTTTAAGTGTATATGAAAGTTGTGCGAAAATCAGTATTTAATTAATTTCTTTGTTTAGCAAACAATTTAGAAGAGCATGCACGGTAAATCACTATAAGTACGAATGCATAATATGTGTAATCGTGCACGTCGATCAGATGACGGAATGAGTAGTTTCTTGTTCATGTCTACTATGGTCCATGATAGACGTTATTGTGATGTATAGTACGCTCATTTCTGAACACCATATATTATTATAATATTATAATAAATGCATTACACCGTAATAGATCGGATAATAATAATACTAGTGCAGCCACTTCCGGGGTATGCCGTTGTCGGTGTGTATAGTGCACGTATATTATGTAACTAATAATCATATAATTGATTTTGTCGGTCATTATTGTAACACAAATGGCTCATATTGTGTGCCCACGATCTCGTATTTCGGTAATTGACCTTGGAATTTGTTTCTTGCCATCTCATAATAACAATAGCACTCCTGGAAAATGGAAGACGAAATTTTGTCTGTATATTACACAAAATAGGCGTTGGTAGACAGGAGTTATTACCATGTAGAACGTATAATATTTCTAAGAGGTTACACTTAATACATATAATATAAATATATTGTTATTTTTATTTTGAAGTATAATTCATCTATTTCTTCAACACGCCGTTGTATTCGATCTACAATGACGTTATAATTATAATAATTTAATTTAATTTTTATTATTATTAGGTATCGACAGTATTATGACATTAATATTTAAATATATTCTAAGTGGTGCGGCATAAATTGAATCAAAAGAAAATATTCATAGAACTTTTCAAAATCATAGGAAAAAAATAAAGACAATACAGGAATTTAAAAGCAAAACAAGATTTTGATTAAATCGAAATTATTAATTTTTCTGTAATTCAAAAATTATAAAGCTTCTGAAATATGTTATTTAACAACAAATAACAATGAAAATTATTTAATTTTAAAAATATTGTCTGTTAGATGTTTGAAATTGTTGTTGTTTTTTTTTTCAGTTTATGTTTGATAACGTTTTTGTAAACTAGTTTGAAAATGTTATAATAACTCATAATTTTTCTTAGAAAAATTAAAAAATAGTAATACATAGTTTTTACGATTGATTTTATCAGTGTTTTAAGTTTAAA